ACGCCTAATACCAAAAATGCTGGGTAGTCAGAACAACAATGCTGATCAACTGAGTAGTCAATTCGTGACATCCATACAGGTAATTCCCGCGAAAATCGTTTTGGTTGATTGCATACGCGCCATAGGGCTGTCAATCAAGAGGTAAACTTTTACTTCCGGTGAAAATGTAAAACCGCCATTTCTCTGCCAATATTTAGCCTTTTTCAAAATTTTTTTTCAGAAGTTAGAGATTATTCTTCGACCACTATTTTGACTCAAAACTCCAAATTTGAAGAAAATTGCCAACCCAAAGGTATACTGTAACCTTAACTGGAATTTGAACAACCTGGCCCAGAAAGTTTATAATTCACCTAAATGGCTTTAAACTGTCTCCAAGAACACAGGAACATCGAAATATAAACACAAGACAAACGAAGCCATTTTTAAAAATTCTTTTTTACAACTGAAATCGTAACGCAATCTGCAAACAACTTTATGTCACGGAGATCGTATACAACGTCTGGGTAGCCTGTGCTCAAAGTATGCACGGGGAATCGAATTTCATGACACGTTGGCAAGGGCTACAACAATTTATATCAAACATTTATCTTGATTATTTTGAACAGCATGGGCCTCATTCACGATTCAATTACAGCTTGTCCGTTTCCACGATCATGCTATTTTTAATAGCAATTAATCTTCTCCCAATGATGTAACAAACAATTTCGCAAATTGTGTCTAGTGTACGGTCATTGCTGCCTGTCTAAATAGCGCTTTCGTTGACATCAGTCCACAACAGTTCTTAATGTGTCCACGTTTGTTTACTATAACTTAATCAGAATTTTTCTGTGGTATAACACATTTAAAATGCAAACCTGTATCAGTACAAAGCAGTTAATATTACCAGCAAGGAGCACTTACCAGACAGAAATTCGATTTTTTGGGTAATCCAAATTCTCGATGTATCCGAGCCAGTTAGGAAGAAGATGAGCCGCATTGCGAGCTATGATCGCTAAAAACACGCTGGGTTCTCTCACCGCAGACTCTTTTGAAAGATTATAAACAACATCTGAGATCTTTGAGTCCGCTGTTGATATCTGTAAACTTGTAAATAACAGACTAATCAAGCATAAATTACAACACACAGCCATCACTAATCGATTTCGCGGTGATTTGCGAGCTATTTGCTGTCACAGACCATCGTGCTTTGCAAATAGGTAGACCGGAAGTGAAATACTAGCTGTCACGCAATTTGGCGTTTGGTTTCAGCATTTTTCAGCGATTATCTTGGAAAAAAGATCGCAAGTCTAACGCTTGGTTTACCCCTCCCAATCTTTAAGGGGGGAAACCCTAGGAACGACGTTAGTCAGCTGGTCATTCGTTTACTTTAGAATACCAGTACAGTTTAATGGTCATTTTTTTTTTTCAAACCCGCCGGGTTTGAAAAATAAAATAGGCCATTTTCACGAAACCTTTTGCCTCTGTTTTAAAACTAGTCCTCGGGCAAAACCTGTCATGTCAAAATGAGTCTGATATGCCCATAAATGCACCTGTAGGGGAACACATTTTAAGCGAATGGTTTCGCACGAAGACTCGTTTAGCTAACAAATAAAAAAGCCTAAGCCGTGTATTACACTGTGATAAAACACAACGGGCATTTGAGTACACGAGGGAAATTTAGAAAACACGAGCCGCAGGCGAGTGTTTCCTACCTTTCTCGGGTGTCCTGAAATTTCCGGAGTGTTTTATCACAGTGTGATACACGGCTTAGGCTTCTTCATTTGCTTTATGATATAGAGCTAATGTGGCGAAAAACAATGAAACATGCTTTTTCTATGTTTTAGGCAACTCGGAAATGGCTCACGCAGCGAAGTCAGATATGAAGTTTGGGCACACTGTTATGAAATATTATTAAACATTACTTCTCTGGCTAATATTCTACAGCTCTTAGAAGTTCTGTGCACGTAACTTTCTAATAGCAAACTACGCGCAGTTATCCAGAGTGTCAACAGTGGCGGTTCTAGGGGAGGGGGCCCGGGGAATGGGGGTCCCCCACCCCCTTATTTTGGGTAAAAAAAAGAAAAAATCACAGAAGGAAGAAAAACCGGCAGGGCAAGCTAAACAAAACCGCCGCCCCCCTCCCCCTCCCCCCTTAGCTCAAGGTCTGGATCCGCCACTGCTCTATACGTGTAAACGGGTCTAAGAAAATCATTAATTTTGGCATCCCGTCTTGATTTAGCGCGAATTTCTCAGCTACCTTTAATGGAAATTTTTGCATTGAGATAGGAGCATTGATATTCAGGCCGCTTTGAAAATGAAGCAGATAATAGAGGAACAGAACAAAAATCATAGTTAAGAGGAAGTTTAATGGTCTCATTTACAAAAACTCTACAGGCTTCATTCTACATTTAATTACTGCTTCTGGTTGAATATACTTCCAGTTTTCCACGGGCATCAAAAGACCATCAGCGTCTCAGTTACATTTGTATCTAAGCTGTTGCAAAGTGATAAAAAATGAATGATTAGTTTCATTTGAAAATCCATCACGAAACTGGGGGAATATGTTTCTTTCAGATCTCTCCAAAGAGAAGCAATTCTTCTAAAATCACAAGAGCAATAGTTATCCACAGAATATTTTGTTCTAACTAAACAAAACTGAAGTACACTACCGTCTCGGTTCTCCGTACAAGTCCATGAGCTCCGGCAGAAGTTCGATTTGGGATATTGGGTCGAGGAGGGAGGGAATCAGCTTATAGCTAGTAGTCGAAGATCCAGAATTCAAATTCTTACGAAGAACAATAACTTAAAACGTTCTCTGGTTAGGAACTTTTAAACGTAAGCCGTAGGCTTCCGGCCAGTCTCAAGCCTTTAAAAACTAAAATGTGAAAGCGGGAGATGACAAAAATATACAAAAAGAAAATGATCAAAATGTAAAAAGGGCAAAATAAGGAACAGATGCACTAAGTTAAAAGAATAGAGTGTTATTTTAGCAACGGCTTAGAGTTATTGTTTGCAGTCTACCAAAACTGTGATTTATAATCCTATGGCGGGTTGTTCAAACCCCGATTAAGCTAACCCAGGATAAGCGAGAATTTTGATTGACTTTTGTAACTTTGCGGCGAGGTTTTCTGTTTACATTGTTTAGCCTTCTGTTTTGAGTTTGAATAATCTCAAACTACACGAAACATAAGCAGTGAAAAACAATTTTATAAGAACAAATTAATACTTAGGTTAACTTTTAATCCTGGGTTAGCATTAACCGGCTTTTGAATAACCCGACCCTAAAACGGAACTCCGGCGCCCCGAACGCGATACTCGTAGAAATTCTCCTGGTAAAGATAGCTAGCGGTAAAGCTCGTGGGCTCCCAAGTACGACGACGGCGGCAACGACGATATCGCGCAAAATAACGGCCATACTCCAGCTAATAGCGGAGCTCCTGCCCGCCGAAGGTACGCAAGGCGAGCTCCATCCCTTAGAAAATTTGGTAACCCATCAAGCCGAGAAAATTTGGTTATGATGTCACCGTACGAACTAACGAGCGAGCGAACGCCGTCCGTGCAGACTCGGGGGAGGGGAGGGGTGTCTCGAGGTAACCCGAACGGGAAGCAGAAAAATGCCATCTTTTCTTGGCGGGATTTTTAAAGAGAAGAAAACTCATTTCTATTTGTTATGTCAACGATAGCGGAGGTTGATCAAACGTTTTCAAGACAGGGTTTATTACTGCAGCAAAAAAGTTAAGAGAACAGCAGAAAGAAAGAATTAACAGGCAAAGAAGTAGCGAAGAAGATCGCCAAAGAGAGCGAGCCAGGGCTGGAGAAAGGAAGCGAAATAGTACTAAACAATGCCGTAAATTAGCGCGAGTCAGGGCTGGGAGGAAAGAGATGAAAATACCGAACAATGCCATGAAGCAGCGAGAACAAGGGCTATAGAAAGGAGGCGAAATACCCGAAAAATTGTTTCAGAAGACCGCAGAACTTCCCAAGTTAATTTCCGCGCCGAGATGTGCACTGAGCCGTGCAAGGCAAGTCACATGATTAATCAGGTGATCAACAAGAAATTTCAAGCAAAACAGTAAACACAGCGTAAAAAGTAGTTGATTTGCTTATCTATCGAAAGGATTAGTTTAATTCAGTCTTCACAACTTTTGTGGGAAGTTTCTGCCTGGAGGATTCACACTGAAGTGAATTGCCAAATTTCAGTAAGCGTTTCTTTGCTGTAGAAACATTCTATTGCGTTTTCCATAGAATTTATCAATTTTCTTCCACGAGATATGCTTATCTTCGACAGTTCATTAGGAGTTGTAAAGTCTTCCTGATTGAAACCATTCTGTGAGATATTTTATAAACTTCACCGTTTTAATTTCGCTTATCTCTAAATAATAACACTTGAGTCGCTTTGTCGAAGCCAGGTCGAAGCTGTTGTACACGTGAGTTGCATAGTATACAAATAGTTTTCAACATGGAAGGCAGTCAATGTAATCAATACAAATGATTATAATTAGATGATTATTAATTATCGGTTGTCTTGATTAATCGATGAAAATCAGTATTCACAATATAATTCAAATCCTCATACAGTGGAACCTCGATTTAACGAACCTCTATATAACAAAGTCCTTGGTATTACGAACGATATTCTTCGCCCTAGCAATAGTAAAATGTATGAAAACGTACCTCGATACAACGAAACCTCGTTGTAGCGAACATATTTTGCCAGTGCCAGTTGGCCCTTCATTATATCGAGGTTCTACTGTAATTGCAATCGATTATTTCGATTTTTATCGATCTTTCGATCTTAATTGGCAAGTCTCGGAAGACACTTTCAATTTTCTCTTGATCAGATAGCGAGCGTGTCAGGCTGGCTACATGCATAACTCTCGGGATAACTGAAAGAGATTGATCTCAGTCTATATAATGGTTGTCATACTGATAGAGGGAGCTGAAGTCAAAGGTTACTATAAATGTCGATTTACGACACCGGGGAAATAGCAAAAAGGTAGCTTTGGAGAGGCATAATTTTTCTGTTTGGGACATTAAAACACGACCCAATAAAAATAATGAAGAGTAGCTTAAGTTATAAGGTACGGTTTACAAATATTGAAAATCTACAATGCAATCTAAATAAATTTTGAAGAGTTAAAATGAAAAATTGTCTCAATTCAGTAAGCGATGGTGAGAGTTGTTGTCTAGCCTGTGTAGCTGGCAGGTTTGTTGAAAATCGATACTCACAACTCTCTTGATTATTGATTTTCATCGATTAGTTATTATCAATTATATTAAATGGAATTGATTCTATTGATTATTGGTTTTCATTGATTGGACACGACGGGACTGAGTTAGCAACACCTCCATATCCCAGGATTAACAGTTAACCGAAGTATAAATTTTCTTGTATAAGAATGTTTTCACTGCTTATGTTTTGTGTAGTTTTAGATTATTCAAGCTCAGTAGGCCAAACATTATAAACAGAAAACCTCACCGCCAAGTTAAAAAAAAAAAATCAAATCAAAACTCTCACTTATCCTGGATTAGCTTAATCAGGCTTTTTACAACCCGGCCAAGGGGCTCTGCTTTAAGGCTTGGCTAAATCCATATATTATAACAATCTGCTATGAATAAATGAAAAATAAAAATTCCGATGAACTTAAAGAATTCTTACCTCCAAATACTTTTTTGTACCCCGGCAAGGATCGCCAAATACGCTGTTTGTTGCTTCCAAATAGCAATAGCTTCTTCCTTGGCACTTCTCTCTCACTGTACTTAATGACCCCGAAGCTCTGCAGTTTGTGTCTCTGGCCGGGTCTGGACAAATATGTCTTCCAGTGGTACGTCCGTAGTTCGCCGACAAGATGTCAATACTCGTTCCGTAGGGGCAATGGATTGAACCTGAACTCCTCTCGCAAATTCGCTTCAGTATGCCTCTGTTATAATTACGTAGGCACTTGTAATCTACCTGATCACAATTAAAAGGCAAAGCGAAAACAAAGCAGTTACATAATTGCAGTTTTCTAAAATTTGCTTTTTGCAAAACTTTTTCCTGCTTTCATCTTTGTTTTGCTTTCAGTACATGTAACGTTTGCTTCGTTATATATTGCCTCTGCAATCAGAAATATCTTACAAGTTTCGAAAATACGCGTCCTGGTATATGCTTGTCAAATAGGATCAAAATGTTGAAAAGTGACATTTATATGTCGAGTTGCTATATCTATGTTCAAATTACAACATATATCCAAATTGTAATATATCTATCCAAACGACAATTTATTCGTCCAAAATGTCAATAGATATATATATTCAATGCTGTGTCCATTGTCCATTTTGTGTATAACTTCACACACTTCTTCACATATTTGCAAACAGTTCGATGTATCTTTTTATAACTGTCTAATTTTTCGCGCGCTGATCGACTTATTTTTATCATCAGCAAGAGTACAGACGGATAAAATTTTAATTTATGGAAGCTTTCAAGTTCAGCTCTCAGCTGTCAAACTGTCAACTTTTTAACCAATGAGATTTTACGGACTTTCTTGCGTAGCCAATCAAAAAGCGAGAAAAGCTATTGACAACGTTCGCGTCATTTTGAATAAAATTCATGTATCTTTGCCGTTACGGCAAGTTTACGGCGTCTTTTCCCCCATTTATTCCCGGCATTTGACCATTTTGGTGTCTTGTTATTGTAAAAAACAAATTGACGTCAGTTATTTATGCGTCTGTCCTCTCATTGATGATAAATTTTGTCTTAACATTGTTTACTGAGGAGCCACTCACCTGCGGCTCGTGGTTCCACAGCCACTTTGACAATGTTATTACGCAATTTATCATCATTAAGAGGACAAACGAATAAAAAACTGACGTCAATTTGTTAAATTGCACGCAGTTTTCCGGCAACACATATTTTGCGGTAAGTACTACATGTAAGTGTTCATGAATTGACTCGCATCCCGGCATGAGTGAGACTTCAAACAATATAGCAACATAACTGTTGATCCTGTTTGACAAGCATGCCCTGGGCTTACATTCAGTGTCAACTAAAAAGACTTTTTTGGTTAGCCTATTTTCGGATGCAGAAGGAAGGGAACCTCATTATTGGACGGGACCTTGTATTTTGAAGATTGCCTTGGTTTACATTTGGATGCGACTTTGTGTCTCGAATTTTAAGGTGTACACAATATTGGCCGGGTTATTGTAGAATTATACACAGAACTGACCACCATGGTAATCGTCTTTAAATATAATGTTATGAATCTCACAACGAATTCTACAATCGTTAAATGTGCATCAAGCCTGAAGATATGAAATGCAAAACAAACTGTACGAAAAACATCTTACAAGCAAAAGACGGTTACATCTTTCTTTACTCTACAGATAAGCTAATGAGCTTACATTCTAGGAGAAGCAATTATCGGAAAGATGTTTATTTCTAAGATTTGGGTAGCTTGGTTTCGAAGGCGGGGGGGGGCTTACTTCCACACTTTTTACAGTGTTGCCACGGCATATCGAGCCTGCGTTGACCAAATACTCAGATCAAACAATGAAGCCTACCTCCAGATATTTTTGGGTACCGACACATGGGTCTCCAAAGGCGGAGTTTGTGACGTGCACAGTGCACCTATGTTGTCCTTCGCACTCATTCTCGACTACCCTCATGGAACTACCAGCATGGCAGTTAGTGTTTCCGCCACCCCCACACCGACTTGACGAAGAGCGTCCATATGACGCACTTATGACATAAATAAACCACGGGCTACAGTCTAATCGCATCGGTCCACTGTGTTCACATTTTATAGCAGTCCAGCGATATCCCTCTAAAATAGAGAACGCATGTTAGATGGTGCAAGATTTTATAAAGTAAGTTTGATTTACTGTCAGTTTGAGTTGTTAGTCCTAGCTCATCTGACGAAAAGGAGCTTAAAAAGACTTGGAACTTGGGCAGAGGCAGCTTCGGCTGTAAAGGAAAATGGTACCCCGGAGGCAGGGAACCTGCAGCCCAATTCTCTACTACACCTAATGACGATGAAATCTGACGACACTTATCCATCATTTTCCTTTCTTTCTATTGTTTCCTCGTCGCATGTCTGATTGAAAATGCGTCCTGATGCGCTCATATTTAACCAAATATATTCGTTTCGTTCATTCACAACAAAATTAAGATAAATTAGGTAAGACTATTTCAAGCTGTATAGACATAGACGGTGACTTAAAACTGCAGGGTTCATCGCTAATGCACTTGAATTGAACAAATTAAAATAGAAAACGTATATAAAGTTTTACCTGCGCAACTAGACAACACTGCAAGGAGACAAATACCCAACAAAGGGCGCAACATCTTCTCTGGAGACTGGAACCTGCGAAACAATCAGACTGAAATATTTGTAATTTTAACTGACGGAAATCAGCATATACCACGAACCATTACCTCAAAAGTATATTTAGGGATTAACATATTTTCCCAAAGTCAAACACAAATTTGTTCATCTGTTCCCGGGAAGAAAGGCTTTCCGGCGCTCCAAAAACGCCCTTATTTCTAACCTTTTTAGCAAGCTCTCTTGCCAGCTCTTAAGACGTACCAAGACCGCTTGCAACTATATGTTCCCAGGCTACTATTACTACTCCCAGCCCTGTTCCCTGAAAATAAAGCACTTGTTTGCCGGCCCTGTTGTCTGACCACAAAGTCATTTCGGCTTCAATTGGAAAAATCCTCTGGACGTTTTCTCCAAGAATTATTACACTGAGGGCCACCCGACAAAATGCTGTTCAAATTGACCAATGAAAACACTGGATGTTCATGATAGATTTCCCACAAATCACACACTGACAACCTTTTTCTTAATTTCTCTGATGATACGGAAACTCTGACCTTAGATGAATCATTTTTTATCACGTGTTTGAAGGAAACGTTACAAGACCAGACCCTTTGGACAAGAATCGCATAAGCCACGACTGCAGTTACTTTGTAGAGTAACCCCCCTTCCCCCACACCCCCCTCCGGGGAGAGCAGACATACGAGCGAAGAAGCCGCGAGAAAAATGGCCTCTCTTTCTTGATGCCCCTTTACCAAACTCCTTCCGCCGGATCGCTTTGCTTTCGGACCCCCTCTTCGTCGCTCGCACGTGTGACTCAAAGGCGAGCCTGCTCGCAAGCTAGTCATTCCCAGGAATGACGATGAGAAAGGAGATGACCCAGGAGGAGCTAGCCTCCTCGTGCTAGCCTCAGCGAAGATTTATCAAGAAGCTTAAACTTTTAGCTGTGTTTTTACAGCAAATTTGTTTCAATTGTATCGATCGTGTCGAATTGTGAACGTGAATCAGGCATGAACAAAAGAAGAAGAGGTAGGCTTTGACAGTCTCATTTGGCAATCTCAGTTGTTCGTGTCCAGATTTATTTTTTTGGCGAAAATTTCAATTCATGCGCTCCAAACGAGTATGTAGATACCCGAGGTAGCGCAAATGCGATTTTAGCGAGGTTATACCTATCTATAGATGTTATTTTGATGAATACCATGACTACCTGCAGGCGCATCCCATGGAGGGAATTGGCCATAGTCAAGCACTCATTTTTTCTGAACACTTTGCGTATTTTCGCCATAAACCAATTCGAAAGGAGTGCCTTTCTAAAGTTCCTGAAACAAACAGTTTTAGCGCCCAGTGAGATTATCCCCTGGAGTATCAAATAAGAGAGATCATCGTCTCTCGTATTTGGCTAGCTTCCCTGCAGATCACTAACAACATGACCCAGATACGGAAGAGCCCATGCAAGGCAGAAACATAAATATGAAACGGAACGAATAATTTTATCCCATGATTTAAGAACTATTTTTACGAATTTCTGTCTCTTATTTCGTAAAAAAGAACTCAGTCGCACCAACTGTATAATACGTTATTTGTTCCCGAACAGTAAGGACCGCTGCCGAAAGTATCCAGCACCAAGGGCCTCGTTCTTTCCTAAGTTAATTTGATTCCCTGACCTAGCACGGTGCATAAAAACCTTTTTTCTATTTTTTTCTATCTAGAGGATATCTACTTAAATGCAAAATTTCATAGTGAATGACTTAACACAACTTAATTAAGCAGTTGTGACATTAACCCTTTTTCGCTTTCAAATGCAAGTTGTTTGTGCCCTAAAAAAACCGACCAGTTCACAAATTAGCGTTGTAGCAAGTTGCCAAAAACGTAAACAATTTCATGTTGTTCTCCAAGTACATCAGAAAGTTCATATCTAGTGTAGATGTACGCAACAGATATTTGATTGGAACAATCCGGATGAACCCGGCGCAATAACTAGGACAATATGGCCTTCATAAATTTATCTTCAGCATAGAAGCACCCTGTAGAAGGGTTTTGGTGAACCGAGTAGAACATGTATTTACGTCAGGAGTTTGCTAGCACTAGCTGATATCGCTCGGTGTTGACTAACTGACTGTCATATTCAAGCAAACGAAGCAAAGTTACATTAATTTGCTACGTAAGAGAAGGAGGCCGTCCTCTCTCGTACCGTGTTTATCTTCCAAGATAGAAAATCACTAGCTGTGTAAAATTAGCGTACCTTAACGGCAAGAAGAGTTTCACCAACCACTGTACTCACCTGAAACTCTGCGGTTCGACAAAAAGAGTGATCGAAATGCGTCCTTGCTTTGATATTAAACAAACAGCGCCAACAATTTATACTTTTTTCTTTGGCTTACAGGTCCTACTCCTATTGGACGGTTCAAGCTAAGGTTCCAATATATTCCTGCTGTGATGATACGTGACGAGCTCATTCGCACACGGAAGATGATTACTTTCGGTGCTGTTGCTGAAGGAACACAATCTCAGATGTCTGAACCGTTCTGTTCTTCGTGATAAGGAAACTGATCTCTTGAAACCAAGGAAATATGGTCATAAGAGGTAATTTTTTATGAACTCAAAAGTAAGGATATCTGACATCACATTACTGTCATTTCGTGCTCACCGAAAGACATTCAACAGGGGGAGAACATGTGTTGACCTCGGGCTATTGCTGGTTTTCAGTGTCACGCAATTCAAAAGAGATCAAAATAAAAATCAAAACCGGTCAATAGATAAAGTCCAGAATCTGGGAAATGAAGGAAGGTACATATGCAAAGACTCTCGCCAAAATTCTGGTCACAGCAATGTTTCTTATGCGAGATACGGGGAGAAACTTTTTAGCCAAATTNAAAATGTTTTTGAGTTCCTGGAGAGATAAATTCACGCTTTTGTAGCAAAACTCAGTGACAAATGTTTCTGTTGGTTTCCGACCGCCATTCGGATGGGCACCAGCATGGCGTCTCCATAAAAATCCCTATAAATTTCGGTAAACAATTTCTCCCCATATCTTGCGTAAGAAACATTGCTGTGACCTGAATCTTGGCGAGAGTCTTTGCATATTTACCTTCTTTCTTTTCAAGTTTCTGGACTTTATCTATTGAACTGTTTTGATTTTTATTTTGATTTATTTTGGACGACGTGACACTGAACACCAGCAATGCCGTAATTCGATGTCCGAACGATGTGGCGGCGAATTTCGCGTATAATTTCGCGTATAATTTGTCATTGTGTGCTTCATGATACCTCTTTCTACGCCATGCGGTCATGCGAAGGCAATTTCAAAGTGACCATTGCATTCACTGTAATTCCTTAAAAGAAGAAAGAATCGGTCGCTTTGAAGGTCTTCCACAGTTTAAGTGAAATGATCTCGGCGAACAAGATGTGATAGGGCAAGGGTCGTTTTGAGCCGTTTTTATCGCAAAAACCAGGAACAAGGACGGAAGGGCGAAACAGTGGTTGTCAAGAAATCACTCGCTTTTAAAGATTACCGCTTAAAAAAGATTCCCCGTTTTAAAGATTCCCGCTTTTAAAAATTCCCCATTTTAAAGATTCCCGCTTTTAAAGAATCCCGCTTTTAAAGATTCCCGCTTTTAAAGATTCCCCATTTTAAAGATTCCCGCTGTTAAAGATTCCCCATTTTAAAGATTCCTGCTTTTAAAGATTCCCCATTTTAAAGATTCCCGCTTTTAAGGGCCTCGTTCTTTCTTAGCCCTTGGGGCTAGACACTCTCGGGAGGTCGTTACTGTTCGGGAACAAAGAACGTTTTCTACAGTTGGTGCGACTGAGCTCTTTTTTTACGAAATAAGAGACAGAAAATCGTAAAAACAGTCCTTAAGGTTACTTCCCACCTTCGCGGGTGTCCTTGGGGAAAAAATTCGTACGCGCGCCAGTTTCAATAAAACCCTAACAAACTATATATCAGAAGAAAGCTTAATAAATGTAGTTTACGATAAAAATACACTTTAAGCGATTTTTTCTTTTAGGAAGTGTCAGGAGCCGGTAAGGCGTAAAACGACCGAGGTTCTTCTATTGAATTTATCGGCTCTCGGATGCCGCCGCACGAGCAAAATGGCTGCACAGTCTTGTTCACAAGGCATCAGTCAACGAAAGTGTGTCGGGCTTTTTCGAAATTCTGATCGGTTATCCAGATGTCCACATCCGCAAAGTTGGAGTAGCTAAAAATATACAAGACGGGTTCCGTAAATGGACGCCACGGGAAAAATATGTTAAATATCCAAATTTTTCGACACCCTTTCGTTTGTCATTATCCCTGTTCTGGCGAAATTTCACGAAAATCCATCAGATCTGCATACCCTATAAATTCGCTCAAAGTGGATGCATTCCTCCCAAAATGGCTATCTTTAAAACAGGGAATATGGAATCGGAACATGGAATCGGAAAATGAGAATGGGAACGGGGAACAGGGAACGGGTAAGGGTAATCTTTAAAATGGGGAATCTTTCTACCAGGAGGGTATCTACTTTAAAAATGCAAAATTTCGGAGTAACCCGTTTTCATGGAGACATGACTGATCTGGCAGATTTACCCTTTTTTGCTTTCAAATGCAAGTTGTTTGTGCCCCAGAGAAATCCGACCAGTTCACAAATTCGCGCTGTAGCAAGTTGCCAAAAACGTAAACAATTTCATGTTGTTCTCCAAGTACATCAGAAAGTTCATATCTGGTGTAGATGTACGCAACAAATGAAACTCTGCGGTTCAACAAAAAGAGTGATCGAAATGCGTCCTTGCTTTGATATTAAACAAACAGCGCCAACAAATTTATACTTTTTTCTTTGGCTTACAGGTCCTACTCCTATTAGACGGTTCAAGCTAAGGTTCTAATATATTCCTGCTGTGATGATACGTGACGAGCTCATTCGCACACGGAAGATGATTACTTTCGGTGCTGTTGCTGAAGGAACACAATCTCAGATGTCTGAACCGTTCTGTTCTTCGTGATAAGGAAACTGATCTCTTGAAACCAAGGAAATATGGTCATAAGAGGTAATTTTTTATGAACT